CGCTTTCCTTTTGATTTATTATTGTGTTCTATCTTTCCTTTTGATTTATTATTGTGTTCTAGGTAGGCCTACTAGATTTCATACAAACAAATATAGGGCCTAGGCTAGGGCCGCCTAGGTCCCCTAGCTAGGCTAGGTATGTAGGAGGAGCCTAGTAGGTCTTTTAAGATTTGTAATTGAAATGATCATATTTATTTACCATCAGGCCAATTTTCAGGACTATCAGGCCCACTTTCAAACTGGACCAGATCGTCTTGAAAATGGGCCGATCGTCTTTGTTGGATTGGGCCTGATCGTCTGTAATTCTTAAGTACTACCAGGGAGTTGTTATACTCCCTGGTACTACCTACCACTGCTAGACTACCTTCTACTAACTACTGGTACTACTAGGCCTAGTGCCTAGACTACAGTAGCTCTGAATTCACTACAGATTACACTGCTACTACACTACTACTTACTCGGCGTGCCTAGCTAGCCTCGTCGTAGGCCTTCTTTCATACCTAATTAATATCTAATGAAAGGCTACAGTAGTTTTCTAACAAGGTTCTATGAATAGCATTTAGGAAGAGGATATCAGCACCCCCATTTCAAGACTTCTAGATATGCCAATGGTCTATGTAAGGCTCGGTATTGTGAATAGGTTGATAACATTTCTTTTATTTCTACAAAAAGGTTGAGGAAGTCTTGCAAGTCCAGCTTTGTTTATCGTCTAAATGAGTCTTCGGAAACAATGTTGTAAAGTGATTAAATTCCCTTTTGGTAGTTCGAGCATGAACAGTAACAACAGATATAAATTCACAAACCAACCACATATTCCAAATTCACAATTTCTCCATAATTCTAGTCTCATACGGTTTTGGACACCGCAAAACCTGTTTTATCCACCTCGGCTACAAAGTTGGCAAAATCATTGCCAATACAACCACCAGTATACACCAAGTGGATTATATGATCAGCACAGAATGTCAGGTGCTGATAGACCGACCGAGGCACAGCCAAACCGTGTTGTATTCAGGGACACGTTCAGCGACATTAAAAAGCGTACTGGGGATATTAATTGCACTCATGTCCATGAGGTTGGAAATAAGAAAATGAGAAACAGCAAAGATCACAACCAGTCAAGTGCAAACCACAGTGTGGCTAGTTATGGTGAGGATTACTGTATTTTATTATCTAAAAATGGCTTGCTTTAAATTGCCATTCCCATATATCATAATGTACAATAGTAGAGCCTGCAATTATCAAAGAGGGAAAGTTAACACAGAGGCCTGAAAGGGGAAGCTATTATGCCCTCTTTCTTGTGTCATTGGGTCTAAGACACTGCTTTTTTAATTACCCCATCCTTCAGAAGGGGTGTTATTAATCTCTTGGTCCTGTGATGGAACATGATTGGCCATGTGTAGACCATTGAACACTATAAAAAAAAAAATCAGAGGATTGTCTCCTGACTGCATTGCAGCCGCTGCAGGTTACTAGCGCCTAATTTGAATTTCCTTGTGGATTTCATTCAAGGGAGACCAAACTTTACATCTTTTTCTCTGTTGTTATACTGAAAAACAATATAGTAACTTATCTTTTTTATGACCAAGATGTGCTGTATAAGTGGTATAAAGCCAGTGGCTTTAGATCGGCAGAGATGGCTAGAGTGGTTGCCAAGAACTTAGAACCTGCCAATTGGCAGACCACTTGATGATGATGAGGATGATAAGTGGCATGAATGTTATTGGTAAAATATTTTAAGCCACTTAATAAATGAAAGCAACAGAGGAACAATGCGGGGAACAATGGTTAATGTGTGCATGGAGGGAAATCCAAAGTTGTGGTTGGTCAAAAGCAAATGATCTACAATATTTCCAGTAGTTCTGGTGGCTATGCAGAGACCAAAATTCAAAACAGTTCTCAGATGATATGAGTGCTAGGGTACAGAAACATAATTTTTTATGTTACAGTAGATAAACTTTCCAAAGAATAGTGATTGCACTAATTAAAACAAACAGGCCCGTATCCAGGGGGGTTTTTATGGTTTGGGAGAATCCCCTTTTCTAGCAAACCCCCCTCTTTTCTGGCGAAACCCCCTCTTTAAATTTCCCAAATAAGTCCTCCAACCCAACTAATGCACTGCAGACCCACCCAGACACAGACATTTTCAAACATATCTGCTTTTATAGCATTATTTAGACCCATAAACCACAAATCCTCTTGCTTTGAGGGTTTCGCCTGTGGACCTGTCTCTTATACACATCTAGATGCCCCCCCCCCCCTTGGAAGAACCTGGCTACGGGCCTGACAAACATTATAGATAATGGTTCAGAGTCTGGCAGAATACTTCAACATAAACAACCATGGTCACACATTGTTTTTAATTAAATATTCAATTCTATATATTTTATTCATTAGAAGATTTACAAGTTTACACTAATATTAAGCTAAAATACATAATTAATTATCTTTTTTATAAGGGATTAACAACATCAAATCTCTGATAAATAAATAATTTCACTGGCATTAAGGGCTTGTAATTTGCAAAATTTAGTTCTACATTAATTTGAGGTAGACAGGAAGTTAAGTAACTTACTGTACATTCATATTTTTAAAAATTTATGTTTTATGCAGGAATGCCATCTGTTTCAGCCCTCTCAAAATACTGTTGAAGAAATACTGTAAATAAATAATAAACCTATTCCACTGCAATGTATGGAAAATCCAGAAAATTTATTGTGTTTGTTGTATTATTGAATGGTTGGGGCTGTAATTATGGAACTTCTAGATGGCCGGAAATTGCACTCTTAGACTTATAATGTGAATATAATTTTCTTTAAATCCCTATTTTGAAAATATTTTAAAACATTTTAGGGGGGGGGGGGGAGGGGGTGGTGGCCGGCTGGCTGGAGCCTAACCCCCTCCCTTGAATCCACCACTGAGCATTTAATATCTAATACTGTATAATAAATGTCTGTAGCCCTTATCTCAAATGAATTTCACGTGTAGAGCATAGACAGATTTAGTGGCCCCAACATCCCCTCTAGGCTCTCCATCTCATTCCCCTAATTTTTTCACAGTTAAAAGAAAATTGAATTCCTGGATCTACTGTACCACTGAGTTTATTTCGAATGTTGATTAGTTAGTAAAGTATAGTTTACATGTACTATACAAAAACAGACCGATCCCCAAACAAAAGAAAACCCAGAAACATTCATTTTCAAGCGTGAGTGAAGAGCAGCGTGACCACTGCTTGGGTATTTACCCAAGATCTTGGGTATTTTGACTTGGTCTTGGGTAATCTGTTAAAATCATTGGGCATTTTATTTCTAATAAGAAAATTAAATATTTTTGTCATAGAGGAAAAATTAAGAAGTAACAAAGTATATTTCAGTCCATTCAAGTAAGCAAAACTCAACGAGGTGCACATAACATTCTTAATTGACTGTTAATTGGTAAAAAGATGGGTTCAGAATTTTTAATTTTGCAAATGTGATTTGCGTTGCCATTGATCTAAGCTAATTAATGCAGTACATAATAAAACTTGATCACTGATCTACACTGATAACACTGGCCGACTGAGGGCGTATTTTTCTATCCGTATTCTCGGCTCTGTCCGTATTATCACCTCATGAATATTAATTTTAATAATTAACACAAAAATTTACAATAAAAAGTGGTTTATAAATTGAACTAAAAGGGAAACTATACATGCGAAAAACACGTATTTTTAAAATTTCAATGCATTTTCAGGAAGCTTAGGTAATTTTGGGAAATTTTTGCTGAATCTTGGGTAATTTCGACCCAGTATTTGGGTATATCAAAAATTGTGAAGAGCATAACAATAACATTAACAACATAGGCCTACATAGCAAAGAAGCATCATGAGTGTGCATTTTGGATTAACTCCCAGAGTGGCTCGGAGTCGATCTCTGAGTTTGAGACTCTGTGTAGCAAGCATAGTTGGGATTTCTTACCGTTCGGTACTGCTTCTTCAAGTGTTTTGGATATTTTTGCTTACATTTTTTGAGTGATTTTTAAGTGATCTTGCTAATACCGGTCTTCCAGGCAGGTTGTGTCTGTGTTCACACATTACAACCTGCCTGTGATTGCCTGGTTGGTTACCTGTAACTGCTGGTAGGCCTAATTTGCATATGGCTAAATGCGCTATCTCTGCGTGGAGAGACATGGCCTACTCCAGGGACGCATTATTAGCTTATAATTGTACTAAATATCAGATTGAGTTACCAATTGCTGTATTAGATCATATTCGCTCATTGGGAATTTACAGAGGTAAATATATACAGTACAACTAGTCCTACGACTACGTTTTTTAGGCCATTGACATTACTGTACACTGTACGGTAGGCCTAGATTTGATGATTTGTGGAGGATGAAAGGGATAATTTAAATTGCTACATAAAATCTCTACCCCCACCTGGCATCTACCCCCACCTGGCATTTCCCCCAGATAATTTTCTTGCCCCTCCCCCAGTTCCACCCCCACAAAAAATTATTAATACTATTAGTGGACTAAATAAGCCTCTGAACACTGTCATCAGTGGCGGCTCTAGGATATAATTTATTGGGGGGGGGGAGGGGCTAAGATGTCCTTAATGACTGAATAAGCACCCCTCTCGATTAAACTCTGCTCTCATCAATTTTCACGGAACCAAAATTATTATTTTTTCTACACACCTCAAATCATCGTTTGAGCACTAATTAGAGATATTATATTTTTAAAGAAAAATATTGCAGCACCTTATCTAGAGTTTCCTGTTACCCAACATGCCTTGCATGGGCATAGGTTGAGGTGCTGCTGATGCTCCCCCATGAAAGCAAATTAGTTCCACTAAGTGGGTAAACTACTAAAAATGACCATTAGGTTTTCATTTGAATCTGGTTTTGTTCATCATTTATTCCACCCCTGGCTTGTATCATTGACATAATTAAACGATGCAGGTATAGAGGGCAGTATAACATCATTAGCTGTCATCAGAAAATATACAATAGCCAGTAACTGCCAAACCACAAATTTTATATGAATCTTATTAATTGTTTTCCATTAAATATTGAATGTTTTAGATTATGTGCCTTCAAGAAGTAGAAGAGGATAAGTTCTTTCAGGTTTTCCAGCCAGAATTCAGGAGACTAGGTGAGTAAATTGTAATCATATTTAAACAAAATATGTAAAATGGAATTGGCTATTGCTACAAAGTGAGATGGGTTGTTTGTAACAAACTAACCACTTTACTGAATAAAATTTCAATTTATATTTATATAAGTTTAAATCAGAAAATTAAATTGTGAATCTGTATTTCATGCGGCATTGATTATAGATTCTTTATAAATTAACAATTCAATGTAATATTTTAAAGGTTTTTTTCATATTTTTGTCACACGCCCACACACTAGGAAATTAACTTCTTTTTTTTTTTGCTGCCATGTGTAATGCAATAACCATCTCTTAAAACGCATCTTTTTGCTTAATTCATATGTCTGTATTTTTTTTTTTTGTCTTTTTTCTGGAACTGATGTTGATCGGTTAATCAAGATAATAGAAATTTGGAGAAAACTTGGCTTGTGCTTTGCAACACAATAAATGCCCAGTAACAGTAACCATACTCTCATCATTGCTATTGCAGGTTTCAGCGGAGTGTTCAAAAAGCGGACAGGAGAGAAGCGGGATGGGTGTGCAATATTTTATCGTGATCAATGTTTTCAACTAGAAAAACACTGCAGTGTTGAGTATTATCAGCCAGGTGTATACCTATTGGACCGTGACAACATTGGACTAATCGTTATTCTCAAATCAAAACTTGTTCCGAGTAAACTATGCGTTGCCACTACGCACTTGTTATTCAACCCTAAAAGAGGAGACGTAAAACTTGCTCAATTAAGTAAACTTTTTGCCGAGATTGATAAAGTTTCTTATGAGACCTCTGAAAACGGAGAAGGACACTGCCCAATTATTCTATGTGGGGATTTTAACAGTGAACCGAACAGCCCCCTCTATAGGTTTATTGTGAACGCATTTTTGGACTATTCCAATATGTTCTCAGGTGATGTGTGCAGGCCATTAGGGAGTTCTAACCCACAGAAGAGAGGATTTCAAATCAGGGCGCCCTTGCTGCCTAAGAACTTAGGGATAACCAGGTCCTGCCAGTATGTGGATGTAGTAGAGCAGCGTAATGGTTTACAAGAGCAAAGCACAGCTGGTGAAGGGAAATGTGAAGATAAAAGGGGAAGAAACAAAGGTAACTAGAGAAGTCACTCCATAAAATGGATACCTGAATACAGTACCAAAAATACACAGGCCGTGTATAATGGGGGAAACTGCGGCATACCCCTTAATGATATAATGGAATTACCAGCCATATTCAGGCATATTGCTTTTTTAGTGTTACAGAATACCCTCAAGAAAATAATGGAGTCGCTCATCGTATTCAGGCTTATTGTTTTCTTCAGTGCTGACTGAATACTTGGGGAAAATTCCATTTTTTTTATCCTTGAGGGTAAAAAAATATAATTTCTCTGACCCTGATCTTGTCCTGGGCATTTTCTTCTGAAAATAAATGGTGTCTTTCTTCGATTATTATGTACCATTCCACTAAATTTTATGATCCATTCATTAGTTTTTGCATAATCCTGCTAACAGAAAAACAGACAGCAGTGAATACATAAATGTTTTTAATGTGTTAACAAGATTTTTCTGCATTGGCATAATATGTCATCATTTCATACATCACTTTTCCTATATTTGAGCACTGTTTCTATTACCTTTTTATCATCATCATCATATACTGTATTTATTCATCAGCATGGCTGGAAAAAGTGTGCATCCAGTGGTTGGAGGCATTTACCATTATCCCCGGAGGCATTTTTAATGGGGGGTGGGGAGGGGAAATTTTTTTTTTTCCTTTTTACACATCACAATTTAATGCATACCAGTAATTAAATTTGATATTTATGCTTGTTCCAAACCACTAAATGTACTATTGTTTAATAGTGTAAAGATAACATTTAGTGCCGGAGGCGTTTGATCAAGATTTTCGTGGTCGGAGGCACAACCATATTTTTTTCAGGCCTGTTAATCATCATGGATGAAACATTTATCGGTCAGATTAAGTAAACATTGTATTTATCATTTGTGAGCAATTGATATGCCTAGATATTTCATGACATTTTTATGATTTTTTTTTTTAACAGGATGTGAAGCTAAAATCCAAGTAAAACATCCTGGCTCTTCATCAGGACCTCCTCAGCAAGTTGGAGATCAACTACCAAGCTTGATACCAAAAGCATCTGGGAATGCCGGAGCAAGGGCTTCATCATCTAAAGTAGCCGTGGAAGCCATAGCAGTAGGAAGAACCGCAGCAAGTAGCACATCATCAGGTTCAGTTGAGCAGGCTCAAGGTTCTTCTAAAAATCAGCACAACCCTCCAAAACACGAGCTACATCATAACCTTGATATCGAGTCCTCATACCAGTTACACGATGGATTAACAACTACACACCATTGCAGAACAAACTGTGTAGTGGACTTCATGTTCCACAGTCGACCAAGAAAAAGTGGAAATATATCGGACCTTAAAAAAGTTGCTTGGCTTCCGTTGTTTACAGATTTTGAGTCAAACGAAATGGGTGGTCTTCCTAATAAGCACTGGTCGTCTGACCACTATCGGCTTCAAGTTAAATTCATGCTGTGTCCACCGAGTACTAAACCTTAGGAATAGGTAGTCAATAATTTTAATGTTGATGAGTTAAGTTTTTAAGTTTTCCATTTATTTATTTTTTTATTGGATTTTATATTGATAATAAGAAATTAATAAAAATTACTCGTCCGTTGGTTACGAAACAAAACAAGGGCAGGACATATATGGCAAGTTTTCCAACACGGTGGCGGTACAATTAAGGCCAACTCAGACAGCGTCGGCCGACGCAGCCCGACGCGATTTGTTGTCGCGTCGGGTCTGTGTGAGTTGAACGCAGACGCGATGGTGTACGTCGGGGGCAGTCGTGTAGTAGAATATTAAACAGGTTTAATATTTCTCACGACGGCTTAAGACTGTCCCCGACGATAAATCGGGTCGGGCTGCGTCGGCCGACGCAGTCTGAGTTGGCCTTAAGGGATCGGAAGGGGGGTCGTGGGGCTTTCATCGGACAACAATGAACCCAGTGGCCCAACACCGCAACAATGTAGTTGGACTGAAAATATTAATTTACTGATCCAAACAAAGTTCTTGTGGTTGACATTCCATAATATCACAATTTACCATAAAATCTCTCCCAATAAACCCCACTGGGGATCTTATTCCAGGACCCTGATTGAAGCTCTAGGCATCCCCTAGGTTTGGAATTCCATGTCAGCAAATTTCTTTAGCACTCTCAACTCATGTAAACGTAAGGGAAAAAGGGAAAAAAACCCAATTCATTGCTCATTCCTTGGGTCTTCTATTAATCCCTCTGATTTGATGTTTTATTTTGTTGATGTGTTGCTGTCCAGACTATCACATTTTATTTGACAAAACATGTGGCATGCCTAAGTATGATCATGATGACATCACATCATGACCATATATAGGCACACCATGACTATATATGGGCATAAAACAGTTTTTTGTCAAAGAAAATCTGATAATCTGAACAGAGCTTTAGTTTTATGCTGACAGGGTGTTTTAATTATATTTTTATATAATTACTGAATATTGTTATATTTTGGTAATAAATTATCTGATGTAATATATTATATGTGATAATTTTGGCAACAAATCTATACAGTTTGTGTATTTTTAAACACAACTGAAATGTTTTACTCAATGTCCAATAAAAAATCAAATCTACCATATAAATCAGTCAGTCGTCTCAATTTGGGTGATGTTTTAGCAAAAGAGTTATTCCGATGATGAAATGTTGATATGACGATGTTGATAGAAGAGTGCAGTACAGTATTTAATCATAATTGCTATTAGTATGGTGTATCTAGTAGTAGTGGAATTTGGTGGGCAGGGTGTGGCGAAGGTGAAGTGCTCAATGAATATGTGAAGGGGGAGGGGGGGCGCGCTAGCTGACAAAATTATGTGATGCAAGTTGATTTACTACTGCAGCTGGAGCATATATTATTGCTTCGATATACCACTCGTATGTAGGTGATGTTGATATAAAAAATGGATGTGTAGAAATATTTTACTACTGATTCCAACCAGAGTGTTGGGTCCCCCGCTCCACTATCCCCGCTTTGGGATGAATAGGGAAGTAACAGGCCTTGAAATGATTCCAATTACCAAAGAATTGTAGTAATAATATTTATTGATAATCATCAAACCAAACATTTGAACTTAAACTAAACTAAAACCATGATTTTTTTTTTGGTACATTTGCATTTGTTTTGGTTTATCTCCTCTGTTGTTGTTAAGCGCCTCGAGGTTGTGTCAACGTGAGGCGCCATATAAATTCAGAATTATTATTAGGCCTATTATTATCAATCTGTCTGTAACTTTGCATGTTTCTTGTTATTTAGGTTTTAACCTCGCCTACAAACAGACGTGTACACGTGTTTAAAAACTCGTGACATTCGAGGGATTAGTTGTATTAATTCTTTTAATTTCAAGGGTGACAATATATTTACATTAAACATTCTGTTCTTAATTTAATAAGAAGTACGTCTATGGTCACGGTCAAAATTAAAAGTTTGACGTCACCGAATTGCATCAATTCAATACTGTACAACCTTCTTGGACTTCCTTAATTAACTTGCTCCAGATTTCTTCAATCGATTACGTAAGCAAAATGATTCAAGAAGGTGAAAGTGTACATAATAACAGAAGAATAATGTGATTATTTACTGATAGTAAGTTGCACTTTTTTTTATACCACTCGTATGTAGGTGATGTTGATATAAAACATGTGTAGAAATATTTTACTACTGATGCCAACCATAGTATCGAGTGTTGGGTTCCCCGCTCCACTATCCCCGCTTTGGGATTGTGGTAGGGCAAAATTACACCTATACATGTTTCTGGCCTGCCGCAAATCCAGTTATTGTCTATTATTCCATCACGACAATAAATTGAATTACTATCAACACGGTAACTTCAAAATTTTCAGCTCGCCCTCTCTACTACTGGCCTTCTAGAGTAAACAGCGCCACCATATTAAATCCAATATGGCAGCCACCATAAGCGCAGAGGTATGTTGATGTTGTACCGCTTCGGTTCTTAAATTTTAATATTAAACGTTGTTATGGGATCATCAGAAAGCTGTTTACTGTAACTAAATCATTGTACCACTAAGATATGAGTTTCTTAGGCTACAAGAGTACCGTTGAAGATGGAGATTTGGTGATTATTTATCTAGGCCACGATTCGATGTTACCACTCGATGTCCGCCAGGGAGAAACAACTCAAACGCGGTTCGGTGC